TATCCCATTATATGCAGGACAGTCAGGTCCAGTAAAAGCCTACTTGGCCATAAGAAAACCATTCTGAAATTGCTTCTAAAAATTACTTCGGATTCCTGGTATTTGTAGGTATGTAGATTCATTTTTTTCCCTTCTTTATGGACTCTTTCTAGCCGTAGATTCACTTCAAATTACACCAAGATGGCCAGGCGTGGTGGCTCAAGCCTGTAACCCCAGCACTTTGGGAGGCCGAGGCAGGTGGATCACGAGGTCAAGAGATCGAGACCATCCTGGTCAACATGGTGAAACCCCATCTCTACTAAAAATACAAAAATTCAGCTGAGCACGGTGGCGCGTGCCTGTAATCCCAGCTACTCAGGAGGCTGAGGTAGGAGAATTGCCTGAACCCAGGAGGCAGAGGTTGCAGTGAGCCGAGATCGCGCCATTGCACTCCAGCCTGGGTAGCAAGAGCAAAACCCCGTCTCAAAAAAAGAAAAAAAAAATTATACCAAGATAGGAATTATTTTGTATCCTTTGTTTTGTAACTCTTCTTCATTCCACTTTAGCATCCACCATCTGCTGGATGCTCAACAACATAGATTTTACTAATAAATTATGAACATTTTTTTCATAACAGAAGACACTCTAACTTTGACAATAACTAGAAAAATAATGCACATAGCTAGAAATGAGACTGACAAGCAGTAGCACCCTAACACTGGGGAAATATTCACGTGTGTGAAAACAGACAAGTATAAGAATGTTAACTTCAGCACTGTCTCTAATAGTAAAAAGTAGGAAAGAATCTAAATCCTTATCAAAAGAAAATAATATATTAATACAATGGATTACTACATTGCTGTTAAAATGAATAAATTATATATATTCCAACATGAAAGAAGTTTAAAAACCGAATGTTGGGCCGGGCATGGTGGCTCATGCCTGTAATCCCAGCACTTTGGGAGGCCGAGGTGGGCAGATCACAAGGTCAAGAGTTCAAGACCAGTCTGGCCAAAATAGTGAAACCCCATCTCTACTAAAAATACAAAAAATTAGCCAGGCGTGGCAGTGGGTGGCTATAATCCCAACTACTTGGGATTATAGGCTGAGGTAGGAGAACTGCTTGAACCTGGGTAGTGGAGGTTGCAGTGAGCCAAGACTGCGCCACTGCACTCCAGTCCAGGCAACAGTGTGAGACTCTGTCTCAAAAACAAAAAAACAAAACAAAACAAAACAAACAACCCCACAAAACCAAAAACTTAATGTTGAACGAGAAAGTTATACAACAAACATGATAATATGAATAAATGGTTGAAAGACATAAAACAATACAAACACATTTATTTAAAATAAACTGGAAGGATGTACCAGGTCCATGATGGTGTTACGTCTGGGGAAGGGGAGATGGAGGGAGTGGGAAGGTAGTTATGAAAGAGTCCTTTAGTTTGGAAACAAATATACTATCGATGCTAACAATTAATAAAACTTAATTCTACATATACAGAATATATGCCTTTGTACTTTTCTATATTTTTTCTTCTTTTAATGTAAACAGCGTTACAGTAAACATCTGTGCATTTTTGCACATTTTTAAAAAAGGATAAATTCCTAAAACCAAAATTGCTAGGGCAATTGTAGGTCTTTGTTACATATTACCAATTGCCTTCCAGAAAGGCTGTAACAATTTACATGTAGGTCTCCAAACTATATGCTTATTTCGTTGCATTCCTGCCAATCTGGATACTAAAACACAGAAAACTATCTTCAGTACACTAGGTATGTGAGGCAGGGATCTGATTTTCTCTCTCAAACTATTAGAGTCTAGCATACCTTAATTACTGAGCAACCCACTATAATATCATCATAAAGGCTTCATTACAAACTGTTATATAATATACCATAAAATAGCAAAAACAACAACAAAAAATCAATTATTTTCATTGTTTCTTTTGCCTGTTTTCCCAAACAACTTTAGGTAGGATATAATTAAGCACTGTTTTTATCTTAGAAGGGAAGACTACGCAGATATACATATTGAAAACTAGACAATCAGGCAGGTGCGGTGGCTCAGGCCTGTAAATCCCAGCACTTTAGGAGGCCAAGGCGGGGGATCACCTGAGGCCCGGAATTTGAGACCACCCAGGTCTCAAATTTAGTAGAGACTGGTGAAACCCAGTCTCTACTAAAAATATAAAAACTTGGCTGGGCATGGTGGCACACACCTGTAATCCCAGCTACTTGGGAGGCTAAGACATGAGAATCAAGAATCTCTTGAACCCAGAAGACAGAGATTGCACCACCTGCACTCCAGCCTGGACAACAGAATGAGACTTCATCTCAAAAAAAAAAAAAAAAGGATAAATAAATAAAACTAGACACTGATGCATTTTACTGAAATGGTTTATATTTTTATTTTATTTATTTTAGTTTTTAGTTTTTTTTTTTTTTAAAGACAGAGTCTTGCTCTGTAGCCCAGGCTGGAGTGCAGTGGGGCCATCTTGGTTCACTGCAATGAAATGGTTATTTCAGAAGATGTACTCATAAATAAGACAATTTAAAAAGGTTTTCACTTTTGAAAGCTATAAGAATGACCTTTAAACTTCTTGGTCGAACTATACCAGTCTTCTTTAATTATCATCTAAAAATACACACTAATCATAGATTTGATCAGTGACAAATATCCTGAACTTCCATAGCCCTTTTCATCTCTCATGCTAGATTAAATGATTCAGTTGAGAATTACTAATAATTAGCATTTACACAACACTTTATTTACTGCAACATACAAAGCAGGGGAAAATAATGATCATCACATTAACAAAGGAAGACGCTGAACCAATTAGATTAGTCATCTAAGGTCACGCTAAAGCAGGAATTTGCCAGGATTAGACACGAGAGTTCTTGTAGCATAATTCCAATATGACTTATTACTCAAAAGTTACTACCTATAAGAATTATGACAACTCAGGGAGAAATCTAGAGTATACCAGAGCCAGAGAATCACATTATTGAAATAACTGAAGACCATCTACTTCAAGATCCTCACTTTACAGATAAGAAAACTGAGGCCCCCGAAAGGCTAAGTTAGTTGTTCAAAGTCATACTTCTAGGCATAGTATAGCAAGAATTAGAATCTAGTACTCTTTAATCTAAATTCAGTGAGCTTCAAATACTAGAGTGTAACAGCTATCTTTAATTGGTAATTCAAAAATTTTGGTTTGTTGAAAAGCCTCAATGTCTTCACTGATAATTATTAGTGAAATAATTCATATCATTAATTCAACAAATAATTATCCAGTACTTATTATTATGTACCAGGCCATGTGTGTGGTGCTAAATCTGACTGAATATTTACTATGTGCTAAGCACTGAATTACCTGTATTTTCTTTTCTTTTTTTTTGAGATGGAGTCTTGCTCTGTTGCCCAGGTTCCCCTGGGCACAATCTTGGCTCACTGTGCAACGGCATAGTGCAATGGCACAATCTTGGCTTACTGCCAACTTCCATCTCCCAGGTTCAAGTGATTCTCCTGCCTCAGCTTTCCAAGTAGCTGGGATTACAGGCATGTACCACCACGCCTGACTAATTTTTTTCTTTTTGTATTTTTAGTAGAGATGGGTTTCTCCATGTTGGTCAGGCTGGTCTCGAGCTCCTGACCTCAGGTGATCCACCCACCTCAGCCTCCCAAAGTGCTGGTATTACAGGGGTGAGTTACCATCCTGACCTACATTTCCATATTTAATCCTCACAATACCATTATAAGGTTAAGTACAATTTCTCTATTTTAAATATTAAAACTTAAGAAGAGGGCTGGGCGCAGTGGCTCACGCCTGTAATCCCAGCTACTCTGGAGGCTGAGGCAGGAGAATCGCCTGAACCCAGGAGGCAGAGGTTGCGGTGAGCCGAGACTGTGCCATTGCACTCCAGCCTGGGTAACAAGAGCGAAACTCCGTCTCAAAAAAAAAAAAAAGAAGATATGTCTACCTACGGTCTCCAGTAAGGAAATGCCTTTACAAAAAGTAAATAGTATAATCAAACACAAAATATGTTTAGCCTAACAAAAATCTTATTTTCTTGTAAATACTTCAACTCTGTATATGATTTCATTTGAAAAAAGGATCTATAATCAAAAAAGTTTAAAAACCACAGACCTCTACATAGCACCTAACACTGACCATACGGTAGATGCAGAACTTGGTATTACATTAATGGTTGGGGGTCTCTTGTGGAAGGCTTGAAAGGTCTTTTTTTTTTTTTTTTTTTCCTTATACTTTCCAAGACCTCAGAATAGACAGTATTTGCCGTAATTTAACTGAAAGCCACTTGCTAGAAGAGTGATCACTTGAAATAGAAGACAAGAGAAGGGGTTTCTGGTACCATATAACAATGAGTTTTGGCCTGAAGAATGTTAAATAAGATACAAAGTAGAAGAATGCACTAGTTCTCCTAAGTATCACTCATAAAATAGTACTACAATACTGGTTACCTACTTTCAGAGCATAAAATCTCTGTAGTATATGATCACATTAATTAAAAGTTTCATTTGCTATCTTTCCCAGCAGGAATTGCTTTATCTTTGATTGCTAAGATTTCACAAGGTCCATATCAATAAACCCAAGTGCTAAGAAGTGTGACTATTTTAAAGATTTAGAAATAAGCTTTGTAAATAAGTAAGAACCTGATGATATTAGGTTCTCACCTAATATCACCCTAGGGCCAACCTATAAGAAAAGACATACCTTGAAACATAACTGGAGCATAGAAAAAAATTTTAAGGGAAGATTAATTTTACAAAGTGGTCTACTGCTTTGGGAAATACTGGTATTAAGGAAACCAAATCAAACAATCATTATTTAAAAAAAAAAAGAGAGAGAGAAGAAGAATCTGCCTTTCCCATCATACAGTATATTATATTCTAGGCATAATTTGTAGGTATAAATTGGACTCTAACATAAATGGCATGCTGATAAATAGTCAATCACATAATTAACCACATGCAGTATTCTGATGTGAATAGTTACCTGAGAAGTCTGTCAGAAGTCTTGCTAGGACATGCTTTTTTACTAATTCAGTCTTGCTAAGGCTGGAAACAGCAACTACCCTAGTCGTTTCTCTGATAGCAGTGGGCTTTTGGGAAATCCCAAGATCAGATCCATTCTTGACATTATGTTCTAGGATGTCACATGATCTTGGTGGCCAAGATTCTGGAGCGAATGTGAAAGTTTGTTTCAGCACTTCTTCAGAAGGCAATTCTGTGTCATGCTGTGCAGAAGCTGACTTCTCAACTTGTCTTTCACCTAATTCTTTAAGAGCCTTGATTGTGAGCTGTTCTTGTTCTAAGTCAAGAGATGCTACTGGAGTACCTTGGGTGGGGAAAACACCTAGAGGCTCACTTCCATTTGTTTCTTTGCTTTGTTCGCTGTATTTGCTTCCAACGTCTTTAATTTCAGAAACACCAGGTTCATTTTCATGTAAGACTTTTTCTACAGGAAGAGCTGTTTTAAAGTCTGTCATCTTCTCTGATACTGCTTTAAAGGCATTTCCTTCACTAGCTACTATTCCTTTCTCTCTGGTTTCTGTAAAGGCTGCTACCAGGTCCTCTGGGGAGGAATCATCTATATGTTTAACATTTTTCCCATGAAATGACTCTAAATAGGCAGATGTTGTCACATTTAATGAGAATTCTGTCTCATTAAAAACATTTGGAGACACTGTTGAAGGAAGTTTGGGGTTCTGAGTAGTAATAGGCTTTTCAGACACAACTTCACTCATTTTATCTGACTGCTTCACATCTAAAGAGATATTCATATCGGGTACTTTTGAACATGCTGCCTCACCAGCTGGACTCCTTTCAAGAATATCAGGCCAATCTTGATGTAGTTCAGAATCACTGACCAACTCCTCAAAGTTTTTAGATGTTTCTTCTCTCTTACAACTGGGAATCTCTTTGATTTCTCTTTCACCTGTTTTTACAATAGCACTTCGAATGGAAACTGGTTTTTCAGCCTGAATTTTCTTATTTTCAAATGATGAATCTGCTGTGATGTCCTCTATTACTGTGTCATCAGACTCACCAGAACTATCCGCCTCTGTGATTTCTCCCAATGCAGAGCTCTGCCAGTTCATTTCATCTTTCAGGTGGTCATCAGATAAAACCACGTTCACTGTGGCCACTCCAGAACCCAAAGGTTTCTCAGGTGCAGACCCAGGTAATTCTGCAAGTATGTCATCCTGTTTCTGCATATTGTCTTGTACACCTCTGGTGCTGAATTCTTTTGCAGAACTGAGAGGATCTGCTATAGGTTTTCCAGTGATAGCGTTTTCTTTCGGGAGAGATGCTTCTGCCCAGTCACCTGTTGATTTAGTGATGGTAGTGCTCCCATTAACAGAACATACAGGAATTTTCTGATCAGTGTTAGTTTTAAGGTTTACAACTGGAATTTCTGAATTATATTCACTCATGACAAGTCCTGCAGTTTTTGTGATGCAGTCACAGGATTTATCGGTCTGCTGTTTCACTTGGGGAACCAAATCCCAAGTCAGTATTTCATTAGTGAAGTTATGCATATCATTCACACATCTAGACACCTCTTCCAGTGCTGCATTTGTATGTGAAAACTGTCTACTGAGCAATGCAGACATTGGGTAACGTCCTGCCTCTTTATTTCTCAGTGGAAAAAGCTTGTCATTAGTCTCTGAAATGTCTTCGGATGATTCTCTATCAGTGTGCATAGACCAGCTACCAAAATCATCTGTGCTCTCCTTATATGAATCTTTAAATTCTTTATCAAATGCCGCTTTGTCAATAATTACTTCAAATGGTGATTCAGGGGAATCCTTTTCAATAACACCATCTCCTGAAACTTTGGATGGCGACAAAGAATATGTATAAATGCCTTCTACCTTAGAGTGCTCAGTAGGTGGTTTCTGGGCAGTTAGCAAAGTGAATCTGTCATCAGCATCCAATGCGGTTTTAGCTTCCCTACTTGATATCTCATTTGGGTTCTTGGTCTCTTTATCTATTTGCTCTTCCACTCCACCAATTTTCTTTGAGAGAAAAGCAGGATGCTCTGGGAAACTGGCTGGAATAGAAGGATGGTCATAATGAACTCCTGCTGCAAGAGAAACTGAAGAGTCTGATACGTTGTTGCTGGTCCCCTGAGGCTTTTCCATCTTTTTCATATCTTTTAGATCCAAGTGGTCTTTTCCTTCATGGGCTAAAATAGGCTGGCTCCCTAACACATTGCTTTTTTCTCCATGTAGTATTATAAGGCCAGTATTACATATTTCAGAAGATAAAAGAAAGGAAGAAGTCATAATTTCTGAAGATGGCTCATTACAGCAAAGAGAGCTCAATATGTCTATGATCAGAATTTCAAAGAAAAAAATTGTTCACCAAGTACAATTACACATTAGCTAGCCAAGCCAAGCAGCATGCTTTTTAATTTTAAAATTACATAAATATGTATATACACACACAGGATGTATATATACACACACATAAATACGTATATATACACACATAAATACATAACAAAACAAGTCATCCTACAGGACATGCATAAAACTGCCAACGGTGAAACAGAAAAGCCATTTCATGCTGCGAACTGCAAATGACAAAAAGTTTTCATGACAAATACTTTTTGGTCTACTTTTCCACTGTAAAGAGAAAGCATAAAGAAGGGCGAGAAGATTGAGAAATCTAGGGAGGTTTTTATTATTCTGCTAGAGCTAATCAACCAAAGCAAAATAATCCATACAAAACAAATAACTTGATACTATGATGCACTGATAGACTTTCATCTGTAAACTGAACAATTCAGAGCACACACTGCTTCTATAAATCCATTGCTACAGTCTCACAATCTGAGAAGGAAAAAAACAAGTGGCCAGATTTCTTTTTGATTTTTAGGAGATGCAACAGACCGTTCCTGAGCCTGAAGTGAGGCTAGAATTATTCTGTTCTATCCACAGGAAGAATCTGTCCCATGTACAAATAAATAGCCGTGATGTTCTAAACTAAAGGGTACTGAAAAAGGTTGACCTACTTCAAAATCTCTCTCTTTCTCTTTTTTTAATATTGAGTCTTGTTCTTGTCGGCCAGGCTGGAATGCAATGGCGCGATGTAGGCTCAATGCAACCTCTACCTCCCAGGTTCAAGGGATTCTCCTGTCTCAGTCTCCTGAGTAGCTGGTATTACAAGTGCCTGCCACCATGCCTGGGTACTTTTTGTATTTTTGGTCGAGACGGGGTTTCAGCATTTTGGTCAGGCTAGTCTTGAACTCCCAACCTTAAGTGATCCACCCCACTCAGCCTCCCAAGTGTTGGGTTTACAGGCATGAGCCACCACGCCCACTCAGCCCCTCCAAAATCTCTTGTACCAACTTGTCATTTAAATCAATATTGTACCATGCAAACTGACACTCTGATTAAGACAGTTAACTCGGCTGGGCACAGTGGCTCATGCCTGTAATTTTAGCACTTTGGGAGGCCTAGGCGGATGGTTCACCTGAGGTCAGGAGTTCAAGACCAGCCTGACCAAAATGCTGAAACCCCGTCTCTACTAAATATACAAAAAAGTTAGCCAGGCATGGTAGTGTACGCTTGTAATGCCAGCTACTCAGGAGGCTGAGGCAGGAGAATCACTTGAACCTGGGAGGCCACACCACTGCACTCCAGCCCGAGCAACAAGAGCAAAATCCCAACTCAAAAAAAAAAAAAAAGAATTAACTCCAAAATTACTTTTAAAATAGAAAATATCCTCAAAGTAATACATTAAGTCTTATCAGTTATTAATACCACAGTAGCCATCAATCTACCACACAGTTTCCTAACTTTCCACTCTAACAAGTTATTAGGGAAAAGGATAAAAACAAACTTCCCAAGGGCTGGTGCTTTCTTATTTCTTTTATTTATTTGTTTGTTTTTCAGACAGGGTCTTCCTCTTTCTCCCAGACTGGAGTGCAAATGATGCAACTGTGAACAGCTTTGGCCTCCTGGCTTCAAACTATCCTCCCACCTCAGCCTCCGAAGTAGCAGGGACCACAGGCACATGCCACCATACCTGGCTAATTTTTAAACTTTCTACAAACATGGGGTCCTGCTACGTTGCCAGGTTGGTCTCAAACTACCAGACTCAAGCAATCTGAACAACTTGGCCCCCTAAAGTGCTAGGATTATATGCACGAGCCACCTTGACCAGTCCTAGATGCTATCTTTCTTACATACTGTTGTATCTTTGGAGCTGGAACAAAGTGGGTCTTAAATAGCCCCAAGTAAGTGAATCAAAGATTTCGCTTTGTCAGCTGAGACCTAAGTAGGCTCAGGACACGATGCCTTGAGCATGAATGAGTAACTGGGAAAATGTGACAGATAAATTCTTTTGGGATTACTTTTATTCAGCTTATGTTCCCTTTTTCATGTAAACACCCAAATATCAGATAAAAGCAAAATTATGACTTTATTCAAAATTATTAAAGAGAAAAATATTTTACAATAAATAAAATTCTGCTATATAAAAATGTTTTGAAATTCCATATAAAGTTCCCCTACTTCAACATATCACTGAAATTTGATGTAATAAGAGTTGAGCTTTAGAAATAGCATAACTGTAATCTGGTTATTAGAACAAAAATTCTTTGTACATTGAAGAAAAACTGTTAAAGCCTGGTGGCAAAGCTATATTACCAAAACAAAACACTTGAAGTAAACTTTAACTCATATGTAGTTCTAATTTAGTAAACATGGTTTGCATCTACCATTATATAGAATGGGTATTCAGCATGACTAGATTAGGGTGTAATAGAAATGAAGCCCAGCATTGTACGTTAAAAGGTTCAAAAATCTGAAGTGTAAAGTACTACAGATTACATTTTAAATCAGAAATATTCCACAATCTGAGCCATGCATTGTTACTGAACTTACTAGTCAGTGTTTCTACCAGAAAATATTCAGTGAACTAAGGTTATGATAAAACTGTTTCAGAACCTCTTTCTTCAAACAACTCTGAGGTGCGTCAAACTGCCTCTGCATCACAGGGAGGTTCAGCTTATGTGGTTTGTGTTTTTTCTTTTTGAGACACAGTCTCGTTCTGTTGCCCAGGCTGGAGTGTGGTGGTGCAATCTTGGTTCATTGAAACTTCTGATTCCCAGGTTCAAGCTATTCCCCTGCCTCAGCCTCCCGAGTAGCTGGAATTACAGGTGTGTACCACCACACCTGTTTTTTTTTTTTGAGATGGGAGTATCACTCTGTCTCTCATGCTGGAGTGCAATGGCGCAATCTCAGCTCACTGCAACCTCCACCTCCTGGGTTCAAGTGATTCTCCTGCCTCAGCTTCCCAAGTAGCTGGGATTACAGGCGCCCGCTACCACACCTGGCTAATTTCTGTATTTTTAGTAGAGACAGGGTTTTGCCATGTTGTCCAGGCTAGTCTCAAACTCCCGAGCTCATGCAATCTGCCTGTCTCAGCCTTCTGAAGTGCTAGAATTATAGGCATGAGCCACTGTGCCAGTCAGCTTATATGTTTTAAGGAGCTTTCAGATTATGCAGATTTGTCATCTTACAGATGAACGTCAACAAAATGGGTTAGTCATAATTCAACAGGTATCTACTGAGTGCCTATCACACACCAGACACTATTTTAGCAACTGGGCTTAAAGCAGTGAATAAAACAGAAAAAATCTCTTGCTTTTATCGGGCTTACGACACAGAGCGGGAGACGGACAATAAGCAAAATAATGATAACAATGATGTGATAGTGACCATGCTTGATGAAACAAAACAAACAAAAGAGAAAGCAATCGAACTGAATGCTAACCAAAGATTATTCACATCACTGGGAAGGAAGAACATGGTAAAACTGTTACGCTTTAGCAGGACACAAACTGGTCAGTTTACAGAGTTTTGCTTTTCTCTTATCTTCCTTGAACTCTTAATACTCCAAAAGTTTCAAGTTAGGTGTAGAATAATCTTAGGTAAAACTGCAAGATAAGGTGAGAAGTCCTATTCACAGAATGCTAACAAGTCCTCTACTGAGCACCATGACTACCTGACAGACTTCAAACATTAAAGATTCTTTAGGTTGGGTGTGGTGGCTCATCCCTGTATTTTCAGAACTTTCGGAGGCAGAAGAGAGGCTGCTTGAGCCCAGGAGGTCAAGATCAGCCTGGGCAACATGGTAAGATCCTGCCTCCACAAAAAACAGAAAAATTAGCCAGGCATGGAGGCACATGCCTGTGGTCCCAGCCACTTGAGAAGCTGGAGTGGGAGGACTGGTTGGGCCTGAGAGGTCAAGGCTGCTGTGAGCCATGGTTATGCCACTGCACTCCAGCTTGGGTGACGGAGGGAGAAAGAAAAGAAATGATTATTTAATATGACATGGCTACTATATATATATATATATAGATATATAAAACCTCTAATAATGTTCCCTAATAATAATATTATAACTTACTATTTGGGGTATATATTGTTTTCTGGGGGCAAGCTTACAGAGTAAACAGAGCTCAGTGCTGCATTCAATTCTCAGTGACTGTGAGATGCAGGCACCAGCTCTAATCATTATTGCCAATCAAGCTTTCCCACATGTAGAAAAATAAGGTAGCACCACCATCTGTGCTTTAATTTTAATTATCTTGTTTAGAATTTCAGCAAATGAAAAGACCATTTTTGGCTAGTTGAAACCCTAACAAACTTGGACAGAGTTGACCTATACCAAGACAATGGGAAAAACTGGGCTGGAAGTAAAAAGTTTATAAAGACATGAAAACATTAAACAGAACAAAGACCAAAAACTATTAAGCCTTTTAGAACAGCTCTGATAAGCAAAGACTCTTCCAATTAGTCACTATGGCACTTAGAGTCACTGGTGTTAACCAAGTCAGTACCTGGCAAAAGGACAGAAAAGTCCAGTGAATCTGAAGGCAGTCAGCTTATAAAATACTGCACACTGTAAAACTGTCTGGTAGAATAAATCTGGATTATTTTGTATCTCAGAAAATCTCTACCTTTCTCTTTTCAAAAGATTAATACCTACACATGCGCTCCAAGAGCTTTTCAACATTACTCAAAACAAACCTCCATC